CACTTTAAAAAATGCAATGCACTTTTCTTGGCCTGCAACCACTAACTGATAAAATCAATAAGAAAATATGATTATCGATTAATGGCATCTGTACACTCTGCATACAAAACATCACTTAACAGTAGTGAATAATGAATTTCTATATATATTTCTGCATATATTTTTTATTTGTTTGGCCTGTCAGGCACTCTGGCAGATGTGTGTGCTGTTTAATACATTTGGAATGTGTTTTCCTCTTTTCCTTTTTTGCTTATAACTTACATTTTACAGTTTTATCCTTATCTGTCAAGCAGGAATTTCCATTTTTGCATAACGTCTCGCCCTAACAGCAAGTGAGTCTCTGTCACACACTTCACACACTTCAGTGAATGAGCATCAACACGCATATGCACATCAAACAGACAGAGTGCCATAATTCTAAAATATACATTTTACTAAAAATATTTCTTGTTAGACATTAAATGTAAGTTTAAAATTTCAGATGTAATTGTATTTTTCACGACAGCAGAAACAGTAAAGGGACTACTGTAATGTAGTATAAATATATTATGTTCACATGAGTGAATGTGCGTTCCTCCTACCTTGTGTTAATTTCAAATGCTAAACAATCTGTTTAAATGTAACACCTTTTTTGCACATAATGTTTCATTTTGAGCCTACTGTACATACATGCATTCAGTATAATTATTTCCACAAAACTGCACATTGTTTTGAGGATGTGGAATAACAGTTTTGCGAATAACTGATCAGAATTACTTTATCTTTTAATTAAAATTATGATTTTTGATTTTTATGATTAATGATTTTTGGATTTTTCATCCAATTAATCGAGGAAATAATCTACGGATTCATTCATTATCAAGATAATTCTTAGTTGCAGCTCTACACTTTTCAAAACTGCAATGACTTTACCTGGTTTCTCTGATAACAGAAGTTGCAAGCCCAGAGTTTTGCTCTGTAATCCACTTGACTGCGAAAAAAGAAAAAAACAGAAGCATAATAATATTAGGGCATCACAAGTAATGTATCCAGCTTTCATAATAAATGTGTTTATTTGGAAATGACTGCAATGGATAAGAAGTAGATCCTCCATCTGTGAACTCATTATGCTGTCTGCTCTGACTTAACAGACTTACCACAGAGGATTGAGCACAGCTCGGCACGTGGCCCGGCTGCACAGCACCGGCTCGTACTGAATCGGGGGGAGATCGGGCCGTTCCTTCAGCGGGGTGAACAGGGAGGCCACAGGAACCACCATACGCGTGGCTTCCAGACGACTGGACGGCCAAACGTTCCAACTGAAACGGACACCATCGCGGTCCTCGTTTTGCTGGATGAACTCCTGGAAAGTCGCCATAACACCCTCTGGAATCTACCAGTTTTACAAGGTTAATAGATAAGAGAGAGAAATGTATGCGGTGATATATTCAAATAAGACATGCAGTCTGATCTGTGTGTATATTACAGTCTGATTTATCGTTAAGTCTTTGGACACAGGGCAAACTATAATGTCAAATCACACATCATCAACAAAAGCTGAAATGAGATAAGAGATGCACGTTCAGAAAGCATCTTTGATGCTAAATGCTGTCTAGGTAGGCCACTCACTAGGTTTTGAATCATATACTAGGGGTTTTCAAACTTTGTGATGCCACAAACCACTTTCCTCAAATATAAAGGCAGCTATACATGTTCTTTTAAAAAGACAAATTTATTTAAACATAAAAGATTGCATCATTTTTATTTGCTTCCTTGTTTATTCATTCATATTTGTGCTTGTTTTATCTACCTTTATTCCCCCCCTGCAAAGTATAAGCAGTATGTGCTCAATTATGTCATGCCAAAAATGCTTTCATACTGACTTTAAAGTGGTTTATCCGCAGAGTGGATCATTCTATTACGCCAATTTGTAAATATAACATGTATTTATTTAGTTGTTTATTATTGTTATTAATATTATCATCAATGTTATTCAATGCATTTTCTCAACTTTCTCATGGACCCGGACCCCAGTTTGAAAATTCCATGGCTTCAGATGAGCAGCAAAAATGCCACATGTGCAGATAAGAAGAACACAAACCAATGAAGTAGGAGACATATTAAAAACAATACAAATGTGTTGACAATTACAAACACATTTGGGGAAATATTAAGATACAAAATAAGTACGCAATGCAGCAGTCTGCCCAATTTTCAAATAAGTGACTATTCCAAAATTATAAGCTCATAACAAATATTAGGGTAATTCATGTATTTATGGCAACGAAAAACATAAATAAGGCTGCATAACCGCAGTTAATTATGCAATTTATAAGTTTAGTTTTTCAGTTTACTTGAACTAACGTTACATGGATCCACTGGGGGCGTCAGCCCACCCTCCCAAATTAGCCACAGAAAGCTAGTTCGATAGCATAAGAAATATAAATAAGCTTACATCAACGTGAAACAACTTCAGAGCACAACTACTTTATAACGATCTGATCCGATCACACGTTTCAGTTAACAGCCGCTGCGGTGACCTGCTTGTTGATGTAACAGTTAGACGTGATGCTTCCAGTCAACCCTGACTTCAAGCTAAATGCCCTTTAAACCCGCGATTTCTCGCACTGCAGTCCATCTAACGCTTCACATCAATCATCATTAATAATCGGATCATTAGCGTAATATATACGATCATCTATTTGCAAATAGTAAGGGTTTAGACGTACCTGAAACCTTGATTTAGTGTCTCCTCAGAGACTCACTGACAGCGCGCTCACTGCTCGAGCGAGCTCGCGAGCTGATGACGTAGCAGCTCAACATGGAGTCGGTGCCACGTCAAGAGCCCGAGGTTTTTTTCTTCTTTTTTCTGTGTAATGTAAACCCATTCCTTTAATTGTGTTATCTTTTTGGATGTATTGTTAAAGTTGTAAATGTTGCATGTTATGTCTTTAATGTCTAATAAATTAAAAAAAAAAAAAAAAAACTTCATTTTTGATGTTCTCAAATTTGTCATGCCAAAAATTCTTTCATTCTGACTTTAAAGTTTTTTTTTTTTTTTCTTCACAGAATGGATTCTTTTTTACGCTCATTTATTATTATTATTATGCAATGCATTTTTTCTGAACTTTCTTGCCAGTTTGAAAACTCCATAGCTACAGATGAACACCAAAAATGCCACATGTGCAGACGAGAAGAACACAAACCAATGAAGTAAGAGACGTATTAAAAACCATCAAGCGTGTCAATTACAACACTTTTGGAGAAATATTAAGATACAAAATAAGTGAGCAAAGCAACAATCTGCCCGATTTTCAAATAAGTGAACATTCCAACATTAGCTCATAACAAATGTTAGGGTAATTCATTTACTTTTTTATTTACATAAAACTGCGGTTATGCAGTCAGTTATATAGACAAGTCGCACTTTGGTGAATAAGTTTAGTTTTAGTTTTTTTAGTTTACTTGAACTACAAGAATCCACTGGGGGCGTCAGCCCACCCTTCCTAATTAGCCACAGAAAGCTAGTCCGGTAGCTTAGGAAATAGAAATCATCTTACATCAACATGAAGACAACTTGAGAGCACAACTACTTTATAAAGATCTGGTTTGATCAAACATTTCAGTAAACAGCCCCTGCGACGACCTGCCTGCTGATGTACACATGATGCTTCCAGTCAACACGGAGTTCAAGCTAAATGCCCTTTAAACCCGTGATTTCTCACACTACAGTCCATCTAAGGCTTCACATTAATCACCATTAATCATAGAATCATTAGCGTAATATATACCATCATCTATTTGTGAAGAATAAGTGTTTTGACGAACCTGGAGCTTGATTTAGCGTCTCCACGGAGACTCTCAGTCAGTGACAGCGAGCTCGCGAGCTGATGACGTAGCAGCTCAACATGGAGTCGGTGCCACGTCAAAGACGCTCATTTCAAAATGCGTTTGAAGAGTTGTATTACACACGTTATCTTTGAGACCTTCATCTTTTTTATTTTTAAATATATAAAAAAAGTATATACATATATAAATTATATTAAGGGAAATTAAGATAATTCCCCCTAAAATTATTAAACTTTAATTATAGCAGTTTTATAGATTGTTTTATTATTTTAAATGTTAAATATGAAAATGTTTAAATACATCATATTAGAAAAAAGTCCCACTTCAATTAATTGATTAATAAATGCATTAAATTAGAAATGTAATTAATACAATTTAAGTATTAAAACAAAAAAAAAAGCATAATTTTAGGTAACTTTTATGTCTTTCATTAGTTTTATAAGTAATTCAAAACTGAATGCGAACAATTATATTTTCACTCATTGGTTGCTAAGCTTAAAGGCAATAATTTACGATTTAAAAGAACAGATTATTTTAGGTATTTATAATTATTTGACCAGGGATACAACACAAAGATTACTAACTAATCTCTGTGCAAATTTGTCAAGCTGTTGCTTTGCAAAGTCTGGATTACAAATGTACATAATAAACATTATAAGTACTATGGTCAGTCTGTGTAAAAAGGGAGCTAATTAAATATTTGATGTCAATTTCAGTATAATCAAATGAAAAAGGATAAAAAGACAATTAAAATTCAGTTAAAATGTTGCCGTATAAATTTTATTATAACTGACAATATATTGTCACATACTCTTTTGCAACTACTGTGTTCATCTCTGATACAAAGCCAAAGCTTTTCTATGATAAGTCAAGAAATTATATTTAATTATACAATAAACCATGATTGCTACTTATGAATATCTTATGCAATGAAGATGGTCATAGCAATTACTATGTAAAATCATATAACCTTTACCCTTATTCCAGTTTAGAGATAGTGAAAGTGGTCAGTTGTTAGTAAGTCTGACAATATTGTGAAGCACTCAGATGTCAGTGTGTATATTTGCCAAACCGATGACTCTGACATCACAAGACATTGCTGGACTTGATCTCAGGAAGCAACATTTCTTCTAGCAGTCCCCATTATCAGTCCTTCTCTAGAAACACTGGGCTTTACATGTAAATGAGCCTGTTTATTGTTTTACACCATTTAAAGAATTAAATTACTTGTGGCAAGACAAAACCATCAAACCATCTTCATCCGCCCAGGTTTTGGTTGCTAAAACCATCAAACTCTTTTGCATCCACTGTTTGCAGGTTCAGAGGTTCACATGTTGTTAAATCCCATCATGCCTTTCATGTTGCCAGCAGCTCCCTGCTGAAACTGCCTCATCATGGACTGCAGTCCAGCCATGCCACCTTAAAGAAACAAAGATATATGTGTTTAAGTAAGGCTTTTACAACCATCATCTATATTCACAGATCCTCACATGTATCACAGTGACATTTAAAAATGCAATTTTGGTCATTTCAAATAGGTTCTTGCATACAATAACTGCCACTTGTATAGTGAAGATCAATCAAATACTGCTGCCCATGGTCTAGTAGAAATAAAGCATTTTGGGGTGAAAAGGGAGCTCATACCCATGTGGTGAAGCACTCTGGGATCCATCATTTTAGCCATCTGCTGGTTCAGTTTCGCCATCTGTGATGGGTTGACGTTCTTGGACATGTCCCCTCCTTTATTAAAACAATGATACCATGAGACACTGATTTTAAATGCATCATGAAACTAACACATTTTGAATGCATCAAGTTCAAATCACTCAACCTTTAAATAAGCCTTTAATGCCTCCCATCTTCTTGACCATCTGGGCGAACTTTGTGTACTGTGTGAGTAACTCTTGTACATCCCTGGTAGCCACTCCAGATCCCCGGGCCACTCGCTGGATGCGGTTAGGCTGTTTACTGAAGAGCTTGGCACCATCTTTGTTGTCAAGTTCTGAGATGAAAAACCACAATATATGTAAACTAAATCGTTCTAGTTCAAATCTATGCCTAAACTTTCCAATTTAGAGAAGTCTGCGCATTATTGTTTTTAATCAGTATTAAAAAAGAAAATTAAAATTAAAAAAGCACATACCCTGGTCATTCATACTATCCATTATTGTCATGAGTTTCTTTAATCTGGCCATAGACTCCTGCTCGTTTCCTTTGCTCATGAAATCTGTTCCAAAGCCTGGGATCATGCCCTGAAGACATACAAAACCCACCCCCAGAAATTTTAAGAAACGAACCACTCAGTGGATAACCATAATTAAATATCCTTTCAGTAAAAGTTGTCATTACCATGATCTGACCAAAAGGTCCCATCTTCATGATGTTCTGAAACTGTTCATACATGTCCCTGAGTGTAAACTGACCTAAGAGAGAGAAACGTCATATCTGTTGGTGAAAAGCACTGGAAAATATCTTTTGTAGTGTAAAAACACTGAACACACAAAAGTACACATTTTTATACAAATAATGTTCTAGTTACCATGTTTGAGCTTGTCTATTAGCTCCTCATTGTCATCAAGCTTTAGTTCATTCACTTTATCGATCAGTCCCTCAATATCTCCCATACCTAGAGTAAAAATAAGAATTGCAACAAATAACACAGTTCCAACATCCAATTAACAATCATGAAAATGAATTGAAAATGTACTCACTTTCAGATCATCCAAGATGAAGAGTTTGTTTCTTAATTGGAACAGATTTGAAGAAATTTAGCATTACGTCACTAGCTCACAAATGGATCCTCTGCATTGAATGGGTGCCGTCAGAATGAGTGTCCAAACAGCTTATAAAAACATCACAATAATCTACAAATAACTCACACGACTCCAGTCCATCAATTAATGACTTGTTGGATTGATTTCTTACAAACATGCATCTTTTTGCTTCACAAGGTGTTAACTGATGGACTGGGGTTGCGTGGATTGCTTGTGGTTTATTGTGATGTTTTTATCAGCTGTTTGGACTCTCATTCTGACGGCACCCATTCACTGCAGAGGATCCGTTGGTGAGCAAGCGAAGGAATGCTTAATTTCTCCAAATCTGTTCTGATCAGGAAACAAACGCATCTACATCTTCGATGGCCTAAGGATATGCACATTTTAAGGAATTTTTCATTTTTTGGTGAACTATTCCTTTAACTAAACAGCAGCTCAGCAGTATATTCAAACCTTACCAAGCAGTTTGCTTATGAAGGGTTGAGTCTTGAAAGGCTCCAAGTCATCGATGTGCTCGCCTGTGCCGATAAAAATTTTTTCCTCCAAACATTCTTGCTTTTATGATTAGCTGTATAAAAACCAAGTCCATATTCTAAAATCTCAGGGCAAATACCCAATAACTGCTCACCTTAGAACACGTAGTGGTTTTCCCACTGCCCTGCAGACCAACAAACATGATAACATTGTTCTTTCCCTTCGTGGGAGTCCAGGCTTTCACTCCAGGATCCACCAGCTGCAATAAAAACACTCTGTATTTATCTTCTAGAATACATTTCTATCATCAGGCAGTCAATTCCATTTAGTTTAATGTAGTTTCTCTATTCTATGATGAAAGCTCCTGAGCTACAGGGTGTAAACAAGCACAAGACTCCCTGAGGAACAACGTGAAAACCAATATTTATCAGACATAAATAGCAAACTCTCATTTACCTTGACAAGTTCCTTGAAAACAGCATGCTGGATCATTCTCCTCTTGTTTAGGCCAGAAGCCATTTCCTCCAGATCAATGGCTGCCCTGAGATTACAGAGCAGTTATAGAGTAAAAAGACATTTTATAACAGGGAATTTACTATATAAATGGCCAAAATAAAGAACTTGTTACTTACTTGACATTTTCTCTAAGTTGCTTTACCAACTTGATATTCACATCAGCCTCCAGTAGGGCAGCACAGACCTCCTTGAGCATAGCATTTAATACCTAAGGAAGATTGTAAATAAGTTAACATGTTATGATAGGTCACGATGCTTAACAAGCCTGATTTTAAGATTGCATCATATTCACTGCACCTCTTCATTGATGATGGTGGCATTGCTGAGAGACCTCAAAGCTGAGGTTATTTTCCTCCCCAGATCAGCTAAAACCATTTTTGCGGTTTAAGAGCTGTCAACCTGCAACAGGGGATTAAGGTTACATCAGGTAGCCAAAATTAAAAGAGAGAGAGATTTCCTATACACCCAGGTTTCAGTCATTGAAGCACTGAGTAGAACCTCAATTACGACATTAAAAGTGTGATTGATGTAATGTAGACTTCCTTACGTGATAGGTGGGTGAATGAGACTTTCCAATGTGGTGGGGTTTCCCCCCAAAACAATCCTCCTGTCACTGCTCACTCTGAACCTCGAGACTCAAGTGGAACCAGAGCAATGGTGTTTTCAACCTTACCAAACAACCACAACACAATCAAAACAATGTTATCGCGGATGAGCTGTACAACCTGGATGAATCTGGACCATTTCAGACATGGATCGTTACTATGTCAAAACATAAATGTTGGCACACCCATGAGTAATTTAAACTATTATAAAATCCTAATATAATATATATTTGTATGTTTTCGAAGACTGACTTCGATACTGAAATAAGGCCAGACGTCCGTTGTGAAACGCATTAGCGTGGTCGCTTTAATTAAAGACAGGATTAAAATCATGTTTAAATCAAAACAATGTCAAATTAAGATGTTCAGTGTCCAAATTATTCATATAAAGACATACGTTTCGATTAAATATGACTTACCTAAACTCGCAGCAGCTGCTTTTCGGCGAGAGTGGAACAGCGACTACAGACGTCATCTAACCCCAACATCCCGTGACGTGACTTTACTTCCGTGTAAAATAAGAGTTAGCTTTCTATTATGAAAGAAAAATATTATTTGTAATTTAGATTCGTTTTCACTCTTTGTTCGTTTAACTTAAGTAAAATTCATATCTGTCTGTGTATATAAATTAGAATATACGTTGATACCATCACTGTTTCTTTACATTATTCTATTCTTTACATTAGAGACGTTGCTCATGGAGTTAAATCTTAAGGTGGCACAGCAGTTTATACAACTGATTTGAATTTAGAACAGAAAGGTTGGATTTTTTTACCTGAGATTCATTAGAATCTAAATCATGCGATTAAAATTACAAATATAAATGTTGGTTTTTACCACCTGGAAGAGTTCATCAGAATGACAAAATGTACCGTTCTACCTTAACTCATATCACACGCTTCCCACTACTGCGTACTGCAGACCCATGTGTTGCTCAGTAGTATGTTTGCAACCTAGAGTGTGTTTGACGTAAGATAAGTATCAAGCAAGCAAGCGCTTGAATCAATGAATTTTAACGATGCAAAGAATGAAATTCTGCAGGTGTTGTCCAAGACGGAGAGACAACATCTTCCAAAGCTGTTAGAATGGTTGAAAACATCCGGTAAATGCGCATTGAAATCTTTTGTTATTGTTTTGTCAGCTATAGGTTAGATTGTGTGCAAGGTGTAAGCATTTGTTCTGTGTTTTCTCCAGTTTATTTATATCTTATTTGAGACTATATTAAGCACTTGATCATGGACGTAAATCAGTTACATTTTTTAAATCTATATTTTCAGACGATCTGGATGATTTCCTGGTGGATAACCAGAGTGTTATTCTTCAAAGTATTGCAGAAGACTTAAGGGTTTGCCTGCCACTGGAGGCTATGGCTCCCTCAGAGTCTGTGGCTATTCAGAAGGTCTGTTCATTAGATCTTTAGTATTTTACTAACTATATTGTTAGATCCTAAAGCATGCTTTAACGTTTAGACTCAACAGAAACCTCATCCCACTGTACATGTGGATGCATTCTTATATGATGAAGAAACTGTGGATGCATTGTGTGAGGAGGGAAAAATGAGTCGCAACTACTGCCTCAACTGTGGATCGCACAGAACAGCACCGCTGGGTGAGTGTTTGCATGGAGACTGGGCTATGTATTACATAAACTCATGCAATAATACAGCCACATCATAATATGCCATTTTTAATGTTTCACAGAGTTCATCTCGCATTCATTCTCAATCCCGGAGCTCCAGTTCCTATTCCACAATGTTCTTCCAGACCTCACAGGAAAACTGGTGGTGGATGTGGGATCTAGACTTGGAGCTGTGCTATTTGGGGTAAATTGCTGGTAATAGTTTAACTAAACACAACTAAACTCATTATTGATTGTAAATTACCTGACATTTACAGGAACAACCCCACTGGGGCAACCAGGAGTTAAAGGAATAGTTCACCCAAAAATTTGCTGAAAATGCACTCACCCTCAGGCCATCCAAGATGTAGATGAGTTGATTTCTTCAGACACAGGAACAGATACAGATAAATTTAGCATTACATCACTTGCTCACCAACGGATCCTCTGCAGTGAATGGGTGCCGTCAGAATGAGAGTCCAAACAGCTGATAAAAACATCACAATAATCCACAAGTAATTCACATGACTCTCCAGTCTATCAATTAACATCTTGTGAAGTGAAAAGCTGCATGTTTGTAAGAAACAAATTCAACAAATTATAATACAAGTCTTATAGCCATAATATTGCTTTCTCCAGTGAAAATCATCTCATCTGAATCAGGACAGGAATACACACAGACCGAGCACCGTTTACAAGCGAAGAAAGTCCATAACAGTTATAAGCTAATATGTCTGTGGATATTGATTTGAGGGGACAACATGGGATGGACTTTTTCAAAGAAGGAAGCATTTTTACAGATTATGGACTTATATTTGGGCAAGAAGTGACAGTTTAATGTTAAAATGTCTTAACAATCACCTTGTTTCTTTCACGCATGTGAACTTGAGTGGTGTGAATTACTTGTGGATTATTGTGATGTTTTTATCAGCTGTTTGGACTCTCATTCTGACGGCACCCATTCACTGCAGAGGATCCATTGGTGAGCAAGTGATATAACACTAAATTTACATCCAAATCTGTTCTGATGAAGAAGTCAATTTGATTACATTTAAATAAGTAAATTTTCAGCAAATTTTCGTTTTTGGGTGAATTATTCCTTTAACTGCCTTGCCCTGCTGGGTTTAAACCTGCAACCTTTTACTTACCAGTCCAGATCTGTAGGCACTAGACTACACCAGCTTTATCTTTCTTGTTAAAACATGGTCTGATGGTACATCTATGTTATTGCCTCAGATAGATCATTTTTCTCTCCTCAGGGCTACCTGTACAGTGCAGCATCTCAGCTTGTGGGGGTTGAAATAAGCTCAGAGTTTGTCAAGCTTCAAACAATGGCTGTAGAGAAATATGGCTTCAGTGATAGAATTCAGGTAATCAATCAAACCGTTTCTTTGTCCTATGGTAATTGTTTTGTCTGATAGTATATTTACGAAGATGTTTAATGTGCACTGCATAGGTGATTCATGCAGATATCCGCTCTCAGGCTGCCTTAGTGCAAAATACAGATGTTCTGATCATGAACAACGTGTTTGAATACTTCATGGAACCAAGTGATCAAATGCAGTAAGTGCCAAACTGTGACTGCACTCAAGAACATGCAGAGATGAGAACAAATGCATAAATAAATGTTTTCTTTATTATAAACAAAATGATAAATAGTAACTGTGTGTCTTAAATTAGGTGTAAACTAAAACTTCCCATTTTTTCTTGTCCTTTTTTTTCAGAGCGTGGCTATTTATTAGTCAGAATTTCAGAAAGAAAGGTGCGCTGTTAGTAACTGTACCCAGCATTCACGAGGCACTTGCTTTACTTCAGGACGCTGTTGTAAGAAGCTTCTTTCTATCTATGCTATTTCTGAATTTGTCTCTAAATTGTGATTGGCAGTGCAGTTCAACACATTAATACATCAAGAATTCATAAAACAAATCTAATGTTTACAATTTTTTTCTTTCTCAGTTCCTAGAGACATTAGCGCTCAGACGATGGATAGAAGAAGTACCACTTGATTACTCTGTTTATCTAAAAAATGACACAGATCCAGATTCTCTCAAGCAAATCCATCTTTATAGAGTACTTTGACCCTCAGAAGAGACTCTTATGATACAGTGGAACCAATAAATACTATTAGCCTCAGTGAGGCCTTTAACAGGACAAATGATGCAAATAGATTTGATTAAACACACAGTATCCTCTTTCGATGAACTCTCACTTGTCAATTTTTAAAGTTGAGTTTGATTGTAAACACATTTATACTTTAAATTGTCCGTTTATGTAACTAGCCATACATTTCATATAATCTCTTTATGTCATGTTATGTTTGCATTGCTGTATTAAGCAGTCCACATGTGAGAGTGCCCACTTCCTTAGTTTTTTAATTTGTTCAAATGCATTTCTGTCTCCAACTCTTTCTGTTGAAACAGGAAGTAAGGGGGGGATCGCTGCATGTTTTTTTTCTCTTTTTTTTTTACAGGCAGAGGTAGTGCCTGGAGACAATTTACGTTCCTTGAGGAGGTTATTTTGCCTTGGGTTATAGCCAAACTCATCCAAGTCACCGACTGATGGCTTTAGTTGAGAAGTTGAATTTGTTTGTTAATCCATTATAGCTATTAAAATATAAAACATAATTTATGATAATGTGGCACAACCTTTTGCTAATTGTAATGACTGTCTGTAAAGCAATGATGAAATTATATATTTGCATATCGTACTCTTCGAAGAACACTATCATATATAATATAGCTCAAAACGAACATATATGGATGTAAAGCCACTAAACTTCAATTTTGATAATTATAATTAGCTTCCTTTTATGATTATACTTTCAAGAGTGCATTAGGACACACACTAAAAATGCTTCTAATCATTTGAGAAACTAAGCTTTGTGGTTGGGAAATTTGTCACAGTGATGGTGCTACAATTATCTGCCTTCCTTTTCAACCACAGAATAGCTGTCATCAAGGATCAACGCCTATTCAAATATATATTAACCTAATAATGTCATTCAAAATGCATAAAGCCTCTGTGGAAAAACTAAAACCCCATTTCCAGTTTCGCCTCCCACTATTGGCTACGGAGGCGTGATTGGCGCTCAAACCGCCCAATGGAATGTCACAATTGTCGTGTAAGCACCGCCCCCAGCGCTACCCAGTGGGTAAGTGAACTAGAGCGGATCAAAACTTGTCGTCAACACGCTTATCCCCGCTCGGAGAAGTGGGACATATCCTGATACTCGTGTGTTTTTCTTTCTCTTCCGGAGCCGATTATCTTTTTTACAGCAAAGATTTGGTAAATATCAACATTTAAAGTCAGTGTATAGGGCTCATTTATTATATAGGAACCAAGCATTCGTTTGAATAAAAAAGGCGAAACATGTGGGCTGGATTTTGAACGTCACCCGGGAAGCGCGTGTCATTAACAAAGACTGAAGAATATCGTTATTTTTTTATTTTTTTTACATTTGAAATCCTAACGGTTTTTACTTCAAACCAGTTTCGACGAGTCTCAAAGTCTGACTTTTAATGGAGCCGTATTAATTTGACATTTTCTCACTTTCTAATAGTCTTTTTGTGTTTGTTGTTTTTGAAAGTCCGCGAGAACGATAAAGAGAAAGGAAAGATGCCGCTTCTCCACAAAAAGCCGTTCGTGAGGCGGAAGCCGCCCGCTGATCTCAGACCCGATGAAGAAGTCCACTAAAAATGCTTCTAATCATTTGAGAAACTAAGCTTTGTGGTTGGGAAATTTGTCACAGTGATGGTGCTACAATTATCTGCCTTCCTTTTCAACCACAGAATAGCTGTCATCAAGTATCAACGCCTATTCAAATATATATTAACCTAATAATGTCATTCAAAATGCATAAAGCCTCTGTGGAAAAACTAAAACCCCATTTCCAGTTTCGCCTCCCACTATTGGCTACGGAGGCGTGATTGGCGCTCAAACCGCCCAATGGAATGTCACAATTGTCGTGTAAGCACCGCCCCCAGTGGGTAAGTGAACTAGAGCGGATCAAAACTTGTCGTCAACACGCTTATCCCCGCTCGGAGAAGTGGGACATATCCTGATACTCGTGTGTTTTTCTTTCTCTTCCGGAGCCGATTATCTTTTTTACAGCAAAGATTTGGTAAATATCAACATTTAAAGTCAGTGTATAGGGCTCATTTATTATATAGGAACCAAGCATTCGTTTGAATAAAAAAGGCGAAACATGTGGGCTGGATTTTGAACGTCACCCGGGAAGCGCGTGTCATTAACAAAGACTGAAGAATATCGTTATTTTATTTTTTTTTACATTTGAAATCCTAACGGTTTTTACTTCAAACCAGTTTCGACGAGTCTCAAAGTCTGACTTTTAATGGAGCCGTATTAATTTGACATTTTCTCACTTTCTAATAGTCTTTTTGTGTTTGTTGTTTTTGAAAGTCCGCGAGAACGATAAAGAGAAAGGAAAGATGCCGCTTCTCCACAAAAAGCCGTTCGTGAGGCGGAAGCCGCCCGCTGATCTCAGACCCGATGAAGAAGTCTTCCTATGTAAAGTCACACATGAAATCTTCAGGAGCTATGAGTAAGGGATTTGAATTTTATCTCTATTTGTTCATTTCAACTTCCCCTTTGATGCTAGTCAACAGAAGCACTAGAAACTAACAACAGAAGTGACAGCCCGCTTGAAAGTTTTATTTTTCATTCTTAAAACAACTACCAAGCTACATTTATCTTGATTTGATATTTTAAACCAGCTTTACTAATGACCCAACACCCCTGGTGTGAAAACCTTGAATTTATAAAGACTTGAGGATTTCCCCCTTCATACACCCGGCAGGTGTCAGTTGGAGGCCTTTGCTAACAGAGTTGGCTGCTAGTTAGTTAGCTCAGTTTAGCCAACTAAACCACGATACAAAGAGCAGACTGAGTGAAATAATTCATAAAACTATCTGTCGATGTGTTATAAGAGCTTAAATGGTGCAATATCGCTGGTGGGATGTCCCCGGGAAGCCCCTGTTCGTGTGTTTTTGGGGGGTGTTAGCGGAGATGGGACAGATCTCATCCACACACAGGATGTTGTAGCTTAAAACGTGGTCGCTGCTATTGTTAGTGTGTTTGCTCGTTAGAGGCAGGAGTTTCACTGCTCTTTTCATTATGATGTTGATGTCACTTTACATAAGGCCTTGGGAAACTGACTTGCTGGTCATGTGGGGCTGCAATGGGAAAGATTATAATGCCTTGTAGTACTTGGTTGCAACTATTTGGACCGGTCTAGGTGCTCCTCTGTCATCGGCTCTTGGAAGTTGTCATTTGTCGTTGTAAGTGGTCATGTTGGGATGAAGTAGGATGCAGATAATAATTTTACTGTGTATGAACTATCATTAGGTTTGTTTACAGTTACAGCTACTAATTACTTGCAGATAAGGCAAAAAAAAAATAGACAGATACTGCTTTAAGACCAACTTTCCAATAAATGATATACAAAACGGAAAGAACACGGTTCAAAACACAGTAACTAAATACAAAACACTGAAACTAAATAACTTAATATGCTTTGATTATTGGTTTGGTTACTTTTATTATTGATTACTTATGATGATATTCATGACATTGGATTTATTTTAAAATCTGAATGGTCATAAGTTGATATTCATCGCTATTTTGGGTTTCTGCCTATTTGTTAAGCGTAAATATGAATGGCATGCTTACAATGCATAATGTGATTAATGTTGATGAGTTATGAATGATAGCAATTATCTCACCTGGCACCAGAGCGAGTGACAACATTCACAATTTCTCCTGGAAAGACGTGTGTAAGGGCTTTCATTAGTAACGGTTTAGAAATAAAAACCCTAAGACTTGCATTGTGCACATTTCAAGTGAATAAAACCTATTAAAAAATGATGCATATTGTAGGAGATATAAAATGATTTTGCACCTTTATAGTGTCCAAAAGCTTGATTTTGGACGGGTTTGTCATTGAGATTGGTCTTACAAGTCATAAGACTGATATGAGAAGTTGTTTAAGTTAGAATGACCAACTACTTGGGCATATAAACTAAAACTAGTCTAACAGGTATTAAGTGTTTGTAATTGTGTGTTAATAGAGCTTAAAATATTGTCTCCTTTTGATGACAGCAGTCTATTTGCGACGTTATTACTAATAGCAAAATTAGGAATTTGTGATTGTAAACAAATAAGATGTATTTTGGGTAAAATCTCCACTTTATTTGTTTTCCCCAAAACATGACATTTTTGACAAGGTTCTTTAGTCAGTTTGAGTTGTACGTGCATATCTGTGTAAGCCATAAAGGTGTCAGGATAGTTATTAACATTACACATTGTGTTTTTGTGTTGCCAGTGAATTCTTTGAGAGGACAATTCTGTGTAACAGTCTTGTATGGAGCTGTGCGGTGACTGGGAAGCCCGGCCTGACCTACCAGGAGGCCCTGGAGAGTGAGAGGAAAGCCAGACTTAATCTTCAGAACTTTCCCAATGTGCTGCTCGTCCCCCTTCTGCACCTGACAGCACTTACGCACCGCTCACGTCTGCATGAGATATGCGATGATGTGTACGCTTATGTCAAAGAGCGCTTCTTTCCTGGAGAAATTGTGGATGTTGTCACTCGCTCTGGTGCCAGGTGAGATAATTGTTGTAACTCATAACTCATCAACATTAATCACATTATGCATTGTAGTGTTTCTCTTCCAGGGCAATTCACCCGAGCGCTGACATTTTTGTTGATGTTCATGGAATCAGCCGTGAAACTTTTTATGAAAAAAGCAATAAGCTGTTTTTTTTTTTATTAAAGGGGTCATATGATGCTATTTGAAATATCATTATTTGGTGTAACAGAATATGTTGACATGCTTTAATGTTCAAAAAACACATTATTTTTCAAATACTGTACATTATTGTAGGTCCTCTATGCCCCGCCTCTCTCAAACGCGTAGTTTTCAACAAAGCCCCCTCCTTTGACAAGCGCAGTCTGCTCTGATTGGCCAGCTGACCCAGTGCATTGTGATTGGCCGAACACCACAAGCACGCATTGGAAATATAACGCCCCTTACCATAATCGCTTCAGCTTTCAAAGTAAATATCAAGACAGTTAATAATGTCGTTAGTTTTACCATCAGTTCAAGCCCGAAAGGGCAACAGAGTCGCGTGACGGACACAGTGATGATGCAGTACACAAGCCGCGGTTAAGACAGCCGACGTGCTATGATTTCTGACCGGCTGTTCACTCTCATGTGATGTGACCCTGGTCCCCTCTCACACACACACACACACATGACGCGTTACTCTGCAATACTTACAGTCGCTGATTCAGAAGTGCCAGATTGTCATAGGAAAGTCGGAATTTACCCCCTTTTAAATTTTTTTAGAAATAGCCTTTGTGCACAGCCAGTCTTGTACTCTTATAGGTTAAAAAAAAACTGTCGTCCATAAAATTCGTTGCACAAATTCGAACATCTGGGTTGTGCTGTTCTGTTGTAAATAAATCTTAACCAATGATTCCTAATTGCATCTATTTCCCGAAGGCCAAATAAAGTGCTTTTGCTTTCGCACTGAAACACACACCGTCTCTCTGACATGTGAAATCGCATCATATGACCCCTTTAAGCTAAAAAATATACATTTATTGGAAAAAACTGTAGCAAATATATATCTGTAAATGTTATGTGAACAGCCAACAGTGAGTCAGATGAATTTGTGAGTCTTTTTAAATGATTCAACTGAAGAACCAGGTCATATGCTGCATATTGGACTGTACTGGATGCAATGCATGTTTATTTTTGTGTGGTGCTGAAAATTCAGTCACTAAAAGGCTCATTCAATCGGACTTTAAAGTCAGTTTCATCATTTTTGAGAGTGGTTCAATCTTTGTTGAAGATCTGTCTTTTGAA